GCTGCCAGGCAGCCTGCTTGGATACGAGATCCTTCCTTGACTTCACCACTGATGGGGTCAATTTTAATGATTTGGGAGGCTTCATGAGCAAGCCAGGGGCAAGCGGGGAGGGGGGGTGCCCGGCCTGCCCCTGCCTGTCCAGGACCAAGAGCCACCTCAGGGCTAAGCCGGCTATTTCAAGCACTAACCTGATATTCCCGAGGCGGTGGCCGCACTTCCATTTTTGTGGAGTATAATCCCAACCCGCAGCCGCTGCCCCAGGGCATCCCCTTGCTCGGCTCAGTGCCGGGAGGCATCCCGCCGGAGCTCCGCGGCAGGCGGCCTGTGGGGCCAGTGCGGCCTCTCGGAGATGCGGCCGGGTCCCTCCACGACCAGCCTGGAGGCGAGCACGGGCGGCTGTGCCGGGTGGGCCTCCGGGAAGGGAGGCCGTGGGGCTGGAGCTGGGGCAGGGAGGGGTGGCCGGAGGATCGTGGAGCTGCCAGCCCTCCTCTGTGCGTCTCCCCTTAGGAAAGGGGGAGACGCGGAGGGATGCACAAGCCCTGCCTGGCGCTGGGCAAGCTTGGGAAAGGGACCCCCATGTGCCTGAGGGCCAGCGAGAGTGAGGCGGCCCTCTTTCCATCTCCAGCGCTACGGAGGGGGCTGTGCCGAGACAGGCGCCCTCACGGTTCCCGCGTCCTTGCAAGAGGCGGCTGTGGCTAGGCCAGGCTGGCCTGCCCAAAGTCCCCCTCACTCTCGCGAAGGCCGGCTTTGCTCTGCGTGCCGCTGCAGCAGCACGGGACACGCCTGCCCGGCGTCCAGCCCAGCACGAGGGGAGCCTTCTGGGGCGCCTCCCGAACCTTCGCAGCAGCCACTGCGCAGCTCCCTGGAAGCACAGAGAGGCGGGGAGAAGCCGAGCCTGAGGAGGGTTACGGGGGGGGGGATCCTGACACCCACCAGGTGCCCCCATGGGTCATCATGCCCAATGTCCGAGTTGCCTGGATCCATTTACAGTCCACCCTGTGCAAGGAGTGGACGGAGAAACCATTGATTAATGTATAGCTTTTCTACCCCGTCCCCTACGGAACATCCCGGGACGGCTTCCCATAAATAAGTAGAATAAAACTAACCCCACAGCATCCAAACATCAATATACTAAAACCCCAGCTAGAATCAATTAAACATTAAAATAGTGGGAAAATAAAAAGGGTTTTGCCGGACACCAAAAGGAGCATAATGTTGGCACCAGGTGAACCTTTCTGGGGAGCATATTCCAGAGATGGGGTGCCACCACAGAGAAGGCCCTCCTCCGGGTAGCCACCCTCCTGACCTCCTTCAAGGAGGGCTCCCGAAGCAGGGCCTCCGCCTCAGATCTCAAGGGGCGGAGGGCACAGAGGGGAGAAGGCGCTCCTTCGGGTATCCTGGACCCAGGCCGTTTAGGGCTCTAGCACCCTAAATTGGGCCCGGACGTCAACTGGCAGCCCGTGCAACTGGAGGAGGGCCGGCGTTATATGTGGAACCTGGCCGGTCGCCGACCACATCCCGGCAGCTCTATTCTGAACCAGCGGAGGTATCCGGACTGTCTTCAAGGGGAGCCCCACGCAGAGCACGTTACAGTAATCCAACCGGGAGGCTACCAGAGCCAGGCACTGCTCATCCAGGCAAGGGCGCAGTTGGTGGATCAGCCGAAGCTGGAGGAAGGCGCTCCTCGCCACCACTGCCCCCTGGGGCCCCAGGACTCGCCCTTGGGCATGCAGACCCCAAAGCCAAACGCCCCCCTGGCCCCAAAAGAGCACCCAGCAAAGCTCCTGGGAGAAATGGGGGAGGCAGGGGAGTGCGGGGAAGGCTGGGGAATGTCGGATATTTTTATTTTTTCCCTAATATCTGTCTTGTTTTGGGTAGACTTAGCTGCTGTTGCGAAACAGTCTCGGGGTTTGATGCGCTGAGAAATTATTTGCTGAAAAGCTAATAAGTGGCTCCACAGTCAGCAAACGCCTCACTGAATTATCATCAACTCTTTACATAAGTGACAAACACGATTGCTTCAAAAGCTCCTCGGCGCCCGCCGTGATCATCAAGGCAAGACGCCGGGAAGATCGCGGGCAGCGGGCACCGTGCGCAGCCCACGCGTCCTGCGAGGGCGCCTCACCTTCGCGACGCCTGCCGGGGCCGAGGAGACGGGGACGCTCCCTGGCGCGCCCCGCGCCTCTCGCCTGCACCACGCACAGGGCACGGCATGCCACTGGCCATGTGGGCACCCTCACCACCACCACCTCCAGGTGGTGAGGTCCTTCCCCGGCACACACCACCAGCAAGCTGCTCCGCGTATCGCGGCGCCCGGAGAAGAGGTCTGGAGAGCGCGCCACTCCAGGCTGGCCGAGGAAAAGCCTCGGTGGGTTTCGGGTTTCGGGTCTTCCCTGTGGCCAACGGGGCTGCCTTTGTTTTCCCTCTCAGTGTATGTGGCGGTCGACTGCCGTCGGCCACCCTCAACCCAACCCAACCCCGAAGGCTGTAGCCACGGCGTGGCCAAGACTAGCCACCCTTCCATCCGCAGAGGAAGGGGAAGAATCAGAGCGCCCCGGAGCTGGAAGGGGCATTTGTGCCCCGGAGCCCAAGCCCACGCTCCGGGTTCAAAGCATCCCTGAGAGGGCTCTCCCGTCTCTCCTGGGAGCAGTGGAGGACGCTCGTCCCGGGCTCGGCGGTCTGGCTGCCGGCCGCTGAGCTGCTTCTCTGGATCCGCAGCTCGCTCTGCCGTCCTCCCGCGGCAGGACAGGGGGAGCTTCCACGCTGCAGCCTGGTGGGTTTCGACCCCCTTCTGCACCTCCCTCGTTGCGCTAGGCCCGCGTGCAGGCGTCCGTGCGAGGCCTCGCACAACTGGCAACAAACGTGCGAGACGCGGCCCTGCTGTTCGGGCCCCAGGGACCGCGGCTGGGGCCCCCACGGGGGGCTCCTCGTTCCCACCCCATGGACCAGCAACGCCATGCAGGAAGAGCAGGCGCCCGCCCAGAATGCCCCCGTTCAGCCCTGGGAGGCAAGGCGGGGAGGGGGCTCCCCCCGCGGCCCCTTGGGCTCGCTGAGCTCGATCCGAGGTACTCGGAGTGGCGAAAGCTCTCAAAAGTGGCTTTTGCTCAGAGGCAGCAGCTGGGGCAGCTAGAGGGGGCCAATTCCACCTCTTTTGCAAGATCATCGCCATCATCATTTATTTATTTATTTAAAACATTTCTATGCTGCCCCCATCGCAACAAATCATTTGCAGTACAGTATCAGGTTAACGGAAAGGGTGATAAACAGAAAACCTGAGGTGGGGAAAAGCCGCTTGAACGGGATTGCAGAATCACGGGGCGCCGGCACATCCGCCCTCGCCGTGGGGCAGCCCCTTGCCCGGGCAGACCCGCCGGCCAAAGCGCCTTTGCGCCCGCTCCCTGCACAGCCGTCCCCGTCCCTGGCGCTCACACGTCAGCTCAGGCCTGGGCCTCCGGGTAGGCCATCGCTTCCCGGACGGTTCCCCAGCCGTCAAGTCCGATCCCGAACGCACAGCCCTACGCGGAGCAGCTGCCGAGCTGGCCAAGAAGCTTCGGGACCCTCGGATAATCCATTCAGGCTCGTCCCCTTATCCCCCGCCCCCCTCCGTGGTTCTGTGGCCACCAGGAAGCCAGCACCAGCGAGCCTCTACACTGCTCTCCATCAGGAGATGCGGCGACCGGCACCGGCACAGAAAGCTTCCCCAGCAGCCTGCGCTAACCAGCCCCTTCCAGACGTGCTGGCCCACGGACCCAGCATCCCCAGCCAGCCATGGGTAGAGCGGCCCATCTGCACGCGCTCCGTGTGGCAGGGGGCCCCCAGCATGACCCCCCGCACATCCTCTCAAGCTCAGGTGTCGCTCGCGTTTCCAGCCACCCTGGCAAACATTGGGGCTTTTTCCTCTGGGCTACGGTTTTGCTGGTCTAAGCAAAGCATCAGAGCACGGCATCCCAGCCTTTGGACTCGCGTGCAGCCGAGCGACGCTGCCACGACTCTCCCGCAGCGCCGGCGCAACATCCACACAACGCCGACAGCCACAGGAGCAAGCAGCGAGCCTCCCCCGCCCCCCCCGCGCCCCACGTTGCCTTGACACAGGTGCCCTGCCGCACCAAGGCTTGGGGCATTTCTATATCTGAAGGCACATGAATGTCAGCGTTGGGGTCACGGTTCCCCCGAAGGATCATCGAGGCTGTAGCTGGGGAGGCCTGGAAAGAACCCCACAGCCTCAGAGGAAGGGCCAGGCCAGGATTCCCCGGGAACAGGGAAGGGGCATCCATCTGGAATAAGCCTGCAATGCAGGCGAGCCGTTGAGGCAAGGCATGCTTACACGTCGGACGCAGGAGGCCCTCTCACACACAGATGGAAACTGTCGGCCTGGGAAGCCTCAGTATTCCTTGCATTCATTTATTATATTTATATCCCACCGTTGCACATTGTGGGGCTCAAGCGGGCTCCGTGGGCGCCCGGGGGTCTCCCCTGCACGCCTGGGCCAGCCCTGGACCTGCCCAGCTTCCACATGGCCGGAGCCTCGTCCACGGCCAGGGGGACCCCGTGCCTCGGCTGCGTGTCCGGAGACACTCAAGAACCACCGCCGGTCCTCCCCCGGGCGTGTCGGCACTGGAGGCGCCAGGGAGGAAGCGGCACCCGACCCACGGGCCTGCTCACACGGCGACACACTGAGAAAACGCAGCCACGGCGGAGGCAGATCCGGCCGCAAAGGGGCAGCCCTGGCCACGTCCAGAGCAAAGGAAAAGTCCCCCGGGGCTGCCGGGAGCTGCAGGGCTCGGCTGGGTCTGAACACACACGATCGGCACCCTCAGGAAGCCCTGCGCAGCCTGGCACCCCCCCGATGTGCTGGACTACAACTCACATCCTCCCCAGCCAGCAAGCTGGTGATAGGAGTTGCAGTGCAGCGGGACTGGAAGGTGCCCGGCCGGGGAGGCCCGCGCCAGCGCGTCGCTCGTCCATCACCCACTCCGGCAAGCGCCCTCCTTCCCTCCTACCTTCTCCGCCATGATCATCGAAGAGCCGCCGTGGATTCCCAGGATCGGAATAAAAGTCTGCGAGGAAATAAAATCCAAAATCTGAGCGATGGACTCCTGGTCCGTGTCGTCGCCAAACACCACCCCGTGGATCCGGGTGCCCGACATCAAGTCGCAGACGCTGGTGATGAGGCTCTTCGGGTCGGTCTGGTTGACCAGCAGCGGCACCACGTTGACGTCAACGCTGAGGCCGCCCGCCATGTCCCTGGTCCACAGCGCCCGGACGTCCCTCTCGGAGGCGAGCTGCGTGCGCCCCAGGATGACGGCCACGTTCAGCAGGGAGTACCCCTTCTCCGCCCCGCGGGCCAGGGCCGCCTCCGCCAGGAGGGCCTGCAGCACCAGGAGCTGCCAGCAAACCCGGGCCATCTTGACCAGCTCTGCTTCCTGCGGGAGAAGCCGGCGTCACCGAGGCCCGCAGCCCCGGGCTCCCGCCCCACCGCG